GGGTGGGAACACAGCCCTGAGCGAGGGGGAGTTGGGTGGGAACACAGTCCTGAGCTTGGAGAACAGCCCAGCAGAGGGTTCAGGGAAACGTGATTACAACATAACAAGAGGACTGAGCCGATCAGGAGCGAGGGGAGGGGTCGAGCTGCTGTGTGCTGACATTGCTGTCTTACATCGATCCCACAGGGACGAGTCTGACTTACCTTTAAGTCCCAGATCTTGATCTGTGAGTCAATGGTTCCTGTGCCGAAGATGAGGCCATCAGGGTGGAACTGGGCGCAGGTCAGGGCTGGACAGGACGGCAGACAGGAATGTCACTGCATACACACATCACTCAGGGGAAGTTACATAATCAACAGGCCAACACATCCTCCTAAAACACTGCGCAATGTGAATGGACACCCCCACTGTTTCCCGTTCCCACCCTGTGCTCTGGATAAGGATCCCACTCTCGATTGGAGCTCCGTGAGAACATTAACCCCAGGCTCTAACTGTCCATTCGGAAAGCTGACATCGACTTTCCTGACTACTATCCTGCCAACGAACACTCCTGCAGTTTAGAAACAGGCCATTCAGCCCATCATCTCCATGCCAAAGCACCTTCCCATCCCCATATCCTCCTGTTGTTTACCCAGCTTTCTCCTTAAACATAACGACACGCTGACCTCCCTTTGTTGACATTATTTATATGGCTAGTCCAGTTTTGATTGATGGTAACCTCCAGGGGAAATCAGAGACTGTAACACCACTGAATGTCAAGGGGTTAGACTGTCTCTTATTGGTGATGGTCAGAGCCTGGCATTTGTGTGGCACGAATGTCATTTGCCCCTTGTCAGCAGAAGCCTGGATGTTGTCCCGATCTTGTTGTATTTGGACACGGACTGCTTCAGTATCTGAGGAGTCACGAATGGGGCTGAACCTTGTGCAATCATCGGTGAACATCCCCACTTCTGACCTTATGATGGAGGGAAGGTCATTGATGAATTAGTTGGAGATGGTTGGAGCGAGGAGATTAGGAGCTGCCTGGTAAGGTCTCTTGTGACACAGCGGTAGTGGTCCTACCTCTGAGCCAGGAGACCCGTATTCTAGTTCCCACCTGCATCCCGGATGCCCACGCATAGTTAAAGCATCCCTCTACTCTCAACCTCTCTCTCTGTCAGTCTGACTTCCAGAAACAGCTCTGCGTTTCCACCGGAAAAAAAATGAACAGACTAACGAGCCGACCAGGCAGACAGATATCGCTGCATCTTCAGTTTTATTCAACTGCACCACGAGAGGGAATTCTTTCAAACCAACAGAAAACTGCACACCAGGGCTCCTGAGCGAATGTGTGGGGGGGAGGTGATGCGGTTGGATTGGTGTCTCTAACAGAGACTTACCACAGCCAGCAGCTTCATCTGTGACCTTGGTGAGAACGCGGCCGGTACGGATATCAGAGAATGCCCAATACTGCACGGAGAGAGAGAGAGGGGGAGAGAGAGGGAGAGAGAGAGGGGGAGAGAGAGAGGGGGAGAGAGAGAGGGGGAGAG